AGTGACCTGAAGATGTATTTGTCTAATGTACCAAGTCATAAGACGAAGGAGACACTGGTGTTCACTGCCCGATGGAACTACAATATATTGTTGAGACAACACACATCTCCATACTGGGACCACATTAACACACCCAGAACATACACGACACTTGACACTTGTCATGGTAAGACATATGCCACTGTCACCTTCACCTAGCATGTTCCTAAGCACCTATCTTATCTAAACTCAAAACTATAAAGGACAATTCAGTTACTCAAACAATGAATCCAGAGTTCCAGTTTTTCTGGATCATGCCAAGCATCATGAACATGAAGCACAAAGATGATAATTATCAATGGATTACCATGATAATGGACACAAAGAAAAGATCAGTAACTATTGTTTGACACAGGATTTCTCACATTCCATACAACGGAATATCCACTTAATGACCTCAGTGTGACTTGTTTCACAGAGTGGTACACAGTAGGTTAGGTTTCATGTCATTAACAACATTCAACACAGTGAGCGATGCACGCATCATCAACAACATTCAACACAGTGAGCGATGCGTGCATCATCAACAACATTCAACACAGTTGGCGATGCTCGCAGCATCACCAACACTGACGACACAGGGACACTGAACAATTTTGATTATGCAAGTCTGTTGTGGATCGGATCTCCACACAACGCGGGAGCATCCGGAGAAGTACATGTATATCCCACGAAGAACCATTTCAGATTTGGTTCAACAATTATGAAAGGATTCTGTATCTATAAATTTAACATTTCGTATAAACTTGTGAGAGTGAGTACGGTTTTACGCCGCTTTAAGCAATATTCCAGCAATATCACGGCAGGGGACACCAGAAATGGGCTTCACACATTGTACCCATGTCGGGAATCGAACCCGGGTCTTTGGTGTGTCAAGCGACCACTTTAACCACTAGGCTTCCCGACCGCCCCCACATAAACATGAAAATAATTAAGCATGGCACGGGGCACCAGAAATGGGCTTCACACATTGTACCTATGTCAGGAATTGAACCCAGTTTTTCGGTGTGACGAGCCACCACTTTAACCACTAGGCTCCCCGAAAGCCCCCTTATAAACATGAAAATAATTAAGAATGGCAGGGGTCACCAGAAATAGGCTTCACACATTGTACCCATATCGGGAATCGAACCCGGGTCTTCAGCGTGACGAGCGAACACTTTAACCACAAGGCTTCCGGACGGCCCCCTCATAAACATGAAAATAATTAACTACGGCAGGGGTCACCAGAAATGGGCTTCACACATTGTACCTATGTCAGGAATTGAACCCAGTTTTTCGGTGTGACGAGCCACCACTTTAACCACTAGGCTCCCCGAAAGCCCCCTTATAAACATGAAAATAATTAAGAATGGCAGGGGTCACCAGAAATGGGCTTCACACATTGTACCTATGTCGGGAATCGAACCCGGGTCTTCGGTGTGACGAATCACCACTTTAACCACTAGGCTACCCGACCGTAGCTTTATAAACATGAAAATAATTAAGAATGGCAGGGATCACCAGAAATGGGCTTCACACATTGTACCCATGTCGGGAATCGAACCCGGTTCTTCGGTGTGACGAGCAACCGCTTTAACCACTAGGCTACCCGACCGCAGCTTTATAAACATGAAAATAATTAAGAATGGCAGGGGTCACCAGAAATAGGCTTCACACGTTGTACCCATGTCGGGAATCGAACCCGGTTCTTCGGTGTGACGAGCCACCACTTTAACCACTAGGCTACCCGACCGCAGCTTTATAAACATGAAAATAATTAAGAATGGCAGGGGTCACCAGAAATAGGCTTCACACGTTGTACCCATGTCGGGAATCGAACCCGGTTCTTCGGTGTGACGAGCCACCACTTTAACCACTAGGCTACCCGACCGCAGCTTTATAAACATGAAAATAATTAAGAATGGCAGGGGTCACCAGAAATGGGCTTCACACGTTGTACCCATGTCGGGAATCGAACCCGGGTCTTCAGCGTGACGAGCGAACACTTTAACCACAAGGCTTCCGGACGGCCCCCTCATAAACATGAAAATAATTAAGCATGGCACGGGGCACCAGAAATAGGCTTCACACATTGTACCCATGTCGGGAATCGAACCCGGGTCTTCAGCGTGACGAGCGAACACTTTAACCACAAGGCTTCCGGACGGCCCCCTCATAAACATGAAAATAATTAAGCATGGCACGGGGCACCAGAAATAGGCTTCACACATTGTACCCATGTCGGGAATCGAACCCGGGTCTTCAGCGTGACGAGCGAACACTTTAACCACAAGGCTTCCGGACGGCCCCCTCATAAACATGAAAATAATTAAGAATGGCAGGGGTCACCAGAAATGGGCTTCACACATTGTACCCATGTCGGGAATCGAACCCGGGTCTTCAGCGTGACGAGCAACCGCTTTAACCACTAGGCTACCCGACCGCAGCTTTATAAACATGAAAATAATTAAGAAAGGCAGGGGTCACCAGAAATGGGCTTCACACGTTGTACCCATGTCGGGAATCGAACCCGGGTCTTCGGTGTGACAAGCAACCGCTTTAACCACTAGGCTACCCGACCGCAGCTTTATAAACATGAAAATAATTAAGAAAGGCAGGGGTCACCAGAAATGGGCTTCACACATTGTACCCATATCGGGAATCGAACCCGGTTCTTCGGTGCGACGAGCAACCGCTTTAACCACTAGGCTACCCGACCGCAGCTTTATAAACATGAAAATAATTAAGAATGGCAGGGATCACCAGAAATGGGCTTCACACATTGTACCCATGTCGGGAATCAAACCCGGTTCTTCGGTGCGACGAGCAACCGCTTTAACCACTAGGCTACCCGACCGCAGCTTTATAAACATGAAAATAATTAAGAATGGCAGGGATCACCAGAAATGGGCTTCACACATTGTACCCATGTCGGGAATCGAACCCGGTTCTTCGGTGCGACGAGCAACCGCTTTAACCACTAGGCTACCCGACCGCAGCTTTATAAACATGAAAATAATTAAGAATGGCAGGGGTCACCAGAAATGGGCTTCACACATTGTACCCATGTCGGGAATCGAACCCGGTTCTTCGGTGCGACGAGCAACCGCTTTAACCACTAGGCTACCCGACCGCAGCTTTATAAACATGAAAATAATTAAGAATGGCAGGGGTCACCAGAAATGGGCTTCACACATTGTACCCATGTCGGGAATCAAACCCGGTTCTTCGGTGCGACGAGCAACCGCTTTAACCACTAGGCTACCCGACCGCAGCTTTATAAACATGAAAATAATTAAGAATGGCAGGGGTCACCAGAAATGGGCTTCACACATTGTACCCATGTCGGGAATCAAACCCGGTTCTTCGGTGCGACGAGCAACCGCTTTAACCACTAGGCTACCCGACCGCAGCTTTATAAACATGAAAATAATTAAGAATGGCAGGGGTCACCAGAAATGGGCTTCACACATTGTACCCATGTCGGGAATCGAACCCAGGTGATCATATAGGATAAAAAGGACACATTTGCCTGTTATTAATGATGTAGTATAACAAAAAGATTAAAATTAAAATGAATGTTAAACCTTTCATGCCAAGTTACAAGAACACTAACACATATACATGGTCTATGCAAACAATCTTCAGGTTAATATACAGACATTGTTTAATATTATTAATAATCATCATCCAAGCATCTCTTAATACTTGATGTTCTGAAACAGGTTTTCCATCGGAGCCAAAACACACTAAAGAAACAAGAAATATATACAATAATCAATCTCAGGAACAATCAGGCCTATTCCTTGTCATATTGTATATACAATATTGAAAATAAACTCAATCTGGGCAAAAGCAATGTATGGAGCATTTTCATTCTCGGCAGAATGTCGTCTAGGAAATAAATAAAAACAAATATAGGATTCAATAAAAATGTACATTCCCAACCTGACTTGTCATGTCCATTCATGCAAGATCAGATTGACAGCGGTCATCAACACTCTAAGATTTGACCTGACACAAGTGAGCTTGCATGAAATTGACCTGTCACAAGTAAGCTTGCATGAAATTAACCTGACACAAGTGAGCTTGCATGAAATTGATCTGATACAAGTGAGCTTGCATGAAATTGATCTGATACAAGTGAGCTTGTATGAAATTGACCTGACACAAGTGAGCTTGCATGAAATTGATCTGATACAAGTGATGTTGGTATGAAATTGCCCTAACACAGTGAGTTGGATTGAATTTGACATGACGTGAGTGTGTGGGAGTGAAATTGACACGACACAAGTGACGTCTGCTGACACAAGATAAGAAATGGACTTGAAACAAATGACCTGATGTTCAGAATCACTGCAACATAATATACAGTAGAATTTTGTTCTTGCAACGAAACATCCATTTTTCATTCCGAAGTGGCAATATTTAATTCTCAAATACTAACTTACAAACAGTCGCCAGTCTCCTACAAGATATGACCTATTTCATCCAATAATATCACGACAATTAATGTTTCGATGTTATATTACATGTTTCTATAATTCCATGAGCATCTTAAAATGGTACTGCTTGTTACAAAAAAGCCAAAACATTGATTTTTTTGTTTGTTAAATGTTTTGGGGTCCCAGTTCTGGCAGTTCATGAAAACCTCTTGTTCTCATCATGCAAGACGTGACACACTGCAGGAATCGACAGAGAGGGGACACAGAGCAGCCAGATTGAAAAACCTTGGACAGCAGAATGCATTCTGTCATGTAACTTAATAGACAAAATGACTTGTGTGCTCCTCTTTGAACAAAATGTAAACAATGTTGGAGATTCTAGGTACAAACTAATATCAAGTTGTTGCGGCCTAAACTGTCATAGCCTGTATTTAAAAAATCCAGGTGACCATTATGGTTATCGTAGTGAGATCATTCAATGGTTTATCGTAACACAAGTTATGACAGCATTCGTCTTCAGCTGTAATATATTAATTCTTTCAAAAACTGACTACTGCACTATGCTACACGTTTCAAGTCACATCCGAGAATGCAATGACAAAATCTCTCTATTCGTGCATAGAAGATTCTGAGTTGAAGAATGGCATACCTATCTCAATGAATATCTCGATGAATATTTTAGACAAAATGTACAGAATTTCCTTAGTTAGTTTCACAAACTTGAACTTTCCACACACGATCAGAATAAAACCATCACAATTCAATTTACAATACATAAGCTCCACTACACACTTTTTACAAAATACCAGAATTAGCTACATATCCACAGTTGGGGCCAAGCTATCTAGTACAGTAGCCCTGATGGGGGCTAACATCTAACTCTGGCATCCCTGGTTCTCCTTGCATCTACACACACTGTGACCGAGGTTGACACACAAAGGAACCCTACAACCCGAGGAGAGAAGAGGCAGAACATAGGACTGGCGTCGTGTTGTTGGACTCGATATAAACACTGGAGGAGAAAAATAGTTACAACAATGTCCAACTATCATTGCTAACAATGGAAAAATAAATAAAAAACCCATGGAAAGTAAGAGTGTAAGATTGTGTTGACGCAAGTTTCAGGACTGTTCCAGCAGTATCCCAGTCTACCCCTGAATAGGCTGGTCCCATTGTACCCATGTGGGGAATCAAACCCAGGACTTGGTCATGAAGAACTACCACCTCAACAACCCGACCACCCTGGAGTTGAAGATTTAACCAGGCAGAGGTCGGGGTAGTAGCTCCGTACAATATGGAAACTGTCACAGTTTTTGTTTCCAAAATAGTCTGAATCCATATGTAACACAAAAATGGAGTTTGATTCCATGCACAAAACGTACAAACTTCGCATTTCAAAACTTACAATACCTCCAAACAGACTTTTTCTTGTCATTACGTTGAAATGCTAAACGCAAAACTATGAACTATTTCAAAACAAGGGAAATAGAAGATCTTTGCTGGGTTAACAGAAGACAATAACAATTGAATATATCTATGTTATTTACAATCAACAGAATATTTACAAAGCACATTGCACCATATAGTCCTACCACAAGGCAACACGCCCTATGTCCAACCCTCCTCTCCTTGTATAAGCAGTATATATGAATATCAACAAATGGTTTAACTCTGTGAGCAGCATGTGAACTGTCACATGGTCTTCAATGAGGCTTCTGATTGGATGAGGTGATGTGATGTGATGGCAACACGACTACAGCAGCTTGTCCCAGTTGAAGTCGTCATCGATGTCGTCCGAATGGTGATATTGTGTCCCGGACGGCAGTGAAACCACGGTCTGACAAGATGAGTAGCTTTCTGAAGCATTCTGGAACAGAGTAGGCTTTGTTATTGTTATTATTTTGTTATTAGTATTATCATAACTCAGAATTATGGTGGCTTCTGGGATCCCTGAGCTTTGCGCCAATGTCACTCGAATCGAGGGATCCTCCAAACTTTTAACATTGGGACACAGATAAGTGCAACGACATATCGAACTACCAAACTATCGCAGTTGCTTTCCCTACAATAGTACTATATCGATAGGAATTTCAAACGCCAATAGCATCGTTGATAGTATACATAACAATCGATAGCAAATTTCAACCTGCCTGTGTGTTGGTTAGCAAGGATTAGAACAACTTCAGATTAGAGTTACTTCCCCTGATTTGTGTAGTGACAGGGAGGAATATAGACTTGGAGGTTGTCCACAATACCTTATTTATTTCTGTTGGTGTGTGGACTACTGTTGCAATAACCGCCCTGGTACAGACCCCTAGAGAATGCATACTGGCATACCAAGATACTCATCAGAGAAAGTTTGGTGTTCGATTGAGAGATTTGAGTGAGTGAGTGAGTGAGGTTTAAATCTGTTCAGTCACAGTCTAATGTTGGAGGAATGACTGAAGTGATTCAGGTTGTAGACATTCACCACTTTGGTGAAACCCATGAGTAGACATGTACATATGGGTTTTTGTTTGTTTATTTGTTTGTTTGTTTAATGCCGCACTCAGCAATATTCCAGCTATATGATGGTGGTCTGTAAATAACCAAGTCTGGACCAGACAATCTAGTGATTGATATCATGAGCACTGATCTACGCAACTGGGATACGATGACATGCATCAACCCGATCCCATTAGTCGGATCTTACGACAAGCATAGTCGCCTTTCACGGCAAGCATGGGTTGCTGAAGACCTAAACTAACCCAGATCTTCACGGGAAACTCAGGAGTAGAAATGTATAGTGCTGACAAACCCAGGACCATAATGAGAGCGATTCTAGGACTATAGATCCTGACAGACGATGGGGGCACCTTGAGAGGAATGGGCACCTTAAGAGGAATGGACACCTTAAGAGGAAGGGGCAATCGGTGCCTACATCTGGGATTCAAAACCTTGACCATCAAATCCTGGCAAAGGATTGCAGCACTTTTTGTCTTTTATAGAGTTTTCTGTTTCAGAAAAGTTGATTTTTACCCATTTCCCTATTTCATATGTAAACAGAACAACATATGGCAGCAATTGGGACAAACAATATATCATCAAAAATTGGTAAAATGAAATCCTGCTCTCTCTCTCTTAAGGTAAGTGTAAGGGTGCCCTTACTGACGGAGGCCCTCCGTCGGCCATGTTCAGCTGGCTGCTGCTCACCGAGTTACTGCTGTTACAGAAGCCGTTTCCAGGACCTGAAAGAGGACAACACAACATTTAAAACTTCCATGAGGACGAATGAGAGTCAACAACGTGTTGACCAGTATTACTGTTATATAACAACATTGTTATCAGGAGTGTGATAATGTTCCGTATCCCCCTAGCCACATCAGCAGTTTCCACTGTTATAGTGTTACTTTAATAAAGATAGCTGGCATGAGTGCTAGTCATCCCATTGGCTGTAAGACTATGACTAACACATCACACAGCAGACCTCCAACAGGTTAATCTCCAGGGCCCCGTTCCACAAGGCGATCGTAGAGCTACGACAGTCACAAGTCAATGTTAAAGTATGGGAGTAAGATCGTCTTAATGCTACGATCGCTTTGTGGAACGAGGCCCAGCTCCCAAGGACAGATGAGGATAAATGGAGATATCAGATGGGGGATGTGTTATCCACAGTTGCTTAGCAACCATACACAGGTTTGAGTGTCAATCCTATTTTCAATTCACAACATAGATCTTACCTCAAAACCATGGTTTGAGCATAAAATACAAGTGGTTCAAGCATCGTTAAGAATGACAAGTGACTCAGGGGACAAGGGAAATCCTCTGAACACTTTAGGAACGAAAAGAACTACAGACAGGGTGAGTGAGTATAGCACTACGCCGCATTTAGCAAAATTCAAGCAATATCACGGCGGGCACACCAGAAATGGGCTTCACAAATTGTACCCTTGTGGGGAATCAAACCCGGATCTTTGACGTGACGAGCGACCGCTTTACCCACTGGGCTACCCCACGGCCCCTATGTGGGAAGAAGCTTGAAGTAGTGTAGGTCTTGCACATTAAACACCCAGAAGCATGGGGATGGTGCTAAAAAAAACCTGGTCTTAGGTGTGACAAGCAAACACTTTAACCACTAGACTACACCACTGCCCCTGATGTGGGGAAAAGCAGGAAGTGGTCTTGCATGGGCATGGTGCTGACAATCCTAGCTACACTTAAGGTTGAATCTGGAATCCTAACCTATGCTCATAGGATTCTGGTGCACTAAGGGAAGCAACTCTGATGTTACTAAAAGTTACCAACACAAATCAAACCCAAACCTACCTGATATTCCACTGGTACTACTTGACTGGTTTTGACTCTGCAGCAGTGATTGATTGAAGAAATTGTTTAGAGAAGATGCTAAATCGGCAAACTGTTCTGGTTTTAACGACCAGTTTGCTGGGTCCTCCTGTTTCATGGTCTCCATCAGGCCTGCTTGTGCAAAGAAAAACGTCTTATATAATGATAATGGTCAGTGTTAGTAACCGAGCGTGATGCAAGCAGAAGTGTGATGGTTAGCTCAGACGTGAAGACAGCGGATGAAGGCGGCCATTTTGGATGAGAGACTCAACTGTAGATGAGGCTTGAGACTGCAACTAGCCACTATCTATACACTGGGTGACATGCTGGGGTGGTGGACCTCAGTGTCAATTCCAATAATTTCACAGTTCCTTGCATTGGACATTGAGGAGAAAATGGGTTCAGAGTTTCACAGCTTTTAACAATACTCAAATTACTAACGTGTTGCCTCAGGCCTTTCTCTACAATTTATTATGGATTTTGAATCAGGAGGACATTGGAAGGGAGATAACTCAAGAGTTAAATTTTCCAAAATATCAACAGTTTTCAGATTTACTTGAGATGGGAATTGCTCCGGACAGTTACAGCCTTTTCAAGGTAGAATCTAAATTCAAGGACTTTTGACAAAACCCAAAAGTTCCAGGCCATTGCAAGGGAGTGCAAGGCCTTTTCATGGTAGAATCTAAATTCAAGAACTTTTGACAAGACCCAAAAGTTCCAGGCCATTGCAAGGGAGTGCAAGGCCTTTTCAAGGTAGAATCTAAATTCAAGGACTTTTGACAAGACCCAAAAGTTCCAGGCCATTGCAAGTGAGTGCAACGCCTTTTCATGGTAGAATCTAAATTCAAGAACTTTTGACAAGACCTAAAAGTTCCAGGCCATTGCAAGGGAGTGCGAACCCAGTACTCTATGCATTATCAAGATACCTATGGTAGCGAGACTATGACAGGGTCACGCTGAATTTGAGATGGGTTTCAAAGGTTCAGTTACGTGAGAGTGAACACTGCAGGTGAGGTGAATCCACACAAACACATACCAGAATATTAGTAGGTAAGGAGTATATATCTCCAGATGACAAGCCAGAACCAGAACTCCAATAGATAGATTATACACAATGATTATCTCCTGATGAGCAGATGACTACATGATGGATAGATTATACAGAATGATTATCTCCTGATGAGCAGATGACTACACGATTGATAGATTATACACAATGATTATCTCCTGATGAGCAGATGACTACATGATGGATAGATTATACAGAATGATTATCTCCTGATGAGCAGATGACTACACGATTGATAGATTATACACAATGATTATCTCCTGATGAGCAGATGACTACATGATGGACAGATTATACACAATGATTATCTCCTGATGAGCAGATGACTACATGATGGATAGATTATACACAATGATTATCTCCTATGGATAGATTATAAACAATGATTATCTCCTGATGAGCAGATGACTACATGATGGATAGATTATACACAATGATTATCTCCTGATCCCGTTAGTCGCCTCTTACAAAAAGCTTAGTCGCCATTTACGGCAAGCATGGGTTGCTGAAGACCTATTCTACCCCGGATCTTCACGGGTCTGCACTGTAAGTACTTATGAACACACAATGCCATTTAGAAAGTGGACAAATGTAACCTCACTCTGACAGTGCGGGGTCGAATCCCGGATGTGACTCAACCCCAAAACGTACTGGAATCTGTACTTTACTAAGAAAGTGTTATCCCAAATATAACATTTGTTATGTAAGTATTTAAATGATACTATCCAAAATTATAAATAATTTCCTATTTGTTGTGGTAAATTATGTTTGAACACTGTTATCGGCATTATCTGAAACCCTTCTATGTCTGTAACATTCTTGTAGTTAGCCACAGATCCCAAAAATACCTTGAAACTGGGTCATGTCGATATTATTGAGGTCACTCCCTGCTCCAGCCAATCGCATGCTCTCTTTCAGCGAGTCCAGGTTCTGTAACCACTCACTGGTGGAACAATTCAAACTTGGAATGCCTGTAAAAATAAATCAGCAAGTTTTATTCAATCAAAACTGTTTGGCACCATGAATTATTATTTATAACCGAGAAAGATATACTGGAGTAAAAAATCTACAACATGGAATGTGTAGGCCTGTATGGTTTCTTGCCAGTGTATTCCAAAGTCTGGTTTATTCCAAAGTCTGGTTTATTCAACATCATTACGTCAGATAGGAGGAATGGCTAAATGACACTTGGGTAAGACATGGTTCCTACAAACTTTGAAGCAATAAGTTTGTCATGGAAATCACACTTTTCATGGATAAGATTACCTATCATCATCATCATCATCATCATCATCATCATCTCACCTGTCCCACTTTGGCTCTGTGAGATGTTTCCATTGAGGAGAGCATTCAAGTTACCTGAAACAGAGCAGAGCGTTGGGTAGACTTGCACAAGTCTGTAAGGCAGTAATTAATAGTCTAATTCATAAGTTCTAGATGAGGTAAATAATAAGAACAAGTTGTCCCTATAAGAGACTGGATTCCTATATCTAGACTTGCCTATTAGGAGGATAGTATTACTACACATCCATGGACTTATCTTTCAGTACAGTCTTGGAGCAAGGCTAAGCGTTGATAACAAAGCCTTATTCCGACTAATCAAAGGACAATATATGTTGAACAGTTCTCCTGAAAACTGTTTCCCAGTGAAATCTACACCTGACGATACATACACGATACGTCTAACCATGTATCGATTTATGGATAAATTCTGTATCAGTTTGCTAAATTTATATTCGGTGCATTTTGCAATAACATTACAATAACTATACTTCTACTAGCATTACCTGACCATGTGTCACTAAACATTATGATTCATCTCCTTGCATGAAACTATCAGAACAAACCTAAATCAACCAGTCGTGCAAGATAAACACAAACTGCTTGCAGGAACATGGACAATAATAAACAACAACAATATAAATAAACAAACAAAAACAACAATAATAATAATTAATTAATAAATAATAAACAAATAATAACAACAGTAATAAAATAAACAAATAATAATAAACAAACAAACAATAATAATAACAATAAACAATTAATAAAAATACATTTCACGTCTAATATTTCAATTATTTGCTTCAGGAAATGAGCAGAGAGTGCTGGTAATCCTATGTTACCATGGTTACCTGTAGAGTTTTCAAAGACGGACTTGTAGAGGTTAACAAGATTGGATGATGCATTCATGTCATCTGGATTTCCGTTACTTTCAGAGAAATTGCAGTTACTCTGAAAATAGAACAACATATAAACACACTGGCATTTAAGAGTTGCATAACCTGTATCAGATTCAGAAGGAAAACCAAATAAGATTATAAAGACAAGATGGCAGCCCTACAAAAGCACTACCAACCCCAAGTTCCTTTTCAGTGGCTTAGTTTACGAGAGTGTGAGTGAGTGAGTTGGGTTTAACGCCTCTTTTAACATTATTCCAGTTATATCACGGCATGTCAGCTTAATGTGGGAGGAAAGCCCGAAGTGATGCAAGTCTCAGAGGATTCGAACCCACAATCATAGGTTTCTGGCCTGTCCAGGGGACGCAACTCAGCACAGCGAATCGCTTCCGATTGATCAATGTACACATGCCTTATTTATTTGTGTGTAATACGTGTGTTATATGCATCTTTAATTATGGGACATTAAATTCTGGAAAAATACATCTGTTGTATATAAACATTTCAGGCTGTCAGCATAAACAACGAAATTTACGATCTTTCAACTTTACACCAAAATAATATTCTAATAAAAGAGCCCCCTATTTCTAATTTGGAGAGAGCCCTGGGCGCTTATTATGTGGAATACGGTATTAGGACTAGTTAATGCATCTTTGTTTCCACTTTGATAAAATTATGGGACCAGGGTGCAACCTGGTTATATCAGTACCAACTACCTTTTCATGTCAACATACACCTGGTGCAAGTTAAATCCAGTTGCTTAAATCAAGCCCTGCTTCACAACCGACAAAGTTCCGCATTCCCCAAACACAGATATATGTTGAATGTAAATGTTAGAACTTAGTGATATATGTTTTCCTATTTGCACATCCATAATTACCGCAACAACTTGCTCCAGACAATGCCCCTTTTCTTTCAACATATTTAATGCATACGAAGCAACATTGATTTCAGGAAAAAGGATCCCTATATCTTATGTGTTTTCAGCAAACCTTATACTCAGTACTACCAACCTCCAGTGACGTCATCCTATTGTTCTCCATGAGGGTTAATCTCATAAACAGGGATGTTATAATATCACGGGTCACGATATGGCTGAAATATTGCCGATGTGACTTTAAATATTAACTCACTCTATAATATCACGGGAGTTTTACATAATATCCCTGGGAATTTTAATAATACAACTTCTGTATATATTGTAACATAGGAATGTTGATTGATGGAAATTTATTTTGCATTTGAAGACAATGTCATGAAATGTAAAATCAAATGACAAATGTTTTGTTTATATTCCCGCGGATCGAACATGCAGCCTTCATAGCCCAGTGAGTGTACCACCAGGACACAGAGGCGCTGATCAATCACAATGCTTTTAAGAACGTCTTTTTCAAGTACCGTACAACAACAAGAAGAGATATTTTATGCCCGTTTCCTGAGGTTCATGGAAAGTATGTTTGAAGCCAAAAAATTGTTGATAAATGTTTTAAGTTTCTTTTTTTAGTTTATAAGTTAGATAAAACACCTTCACAGAGTTAGAAACTAACAGTTTTCGTCCACTAGTCCTTATAATGATAACATATAGCAAAACCCTTAAAAATGGCAATTTTCTACTTGTCCTTGTGATACCTTTACCATTGGGCAGTTTGGCAAGGACTATAGGACTAGTGCCAATTTCTAACCCTGCTTCAGGTTTTTATGAGATTTAAAAACCTCATTCTCTAGGATAAAACATCTGGCCCCTTGGTTTTATCCACTGCCTTTGGGTTATAAATCTCATAAAAACCCTTTGACGTGTTTTATCCTACACATACGTACCAGACCTATTTCAGACTCCAGATTCAATTAAATATTACCTGACCAACCATTTCAATATATAAATACCCGCACAGTACATTCACAAATCTAATTCAGCTCCGGTAACACAAGCCATGACACCTGAGTCGTACAAAAACCTCCCCTTCGCCTACCATGTCTGACCCAGAAAGTACCCCCTAGCAGCTATTTTCTACCCAGAGATCTTTATAAACATCTTATGTGACCAAGTGGGTCCGTGTTGGCATTTTGCCATTCTCTAACCCAGTCAATGGCATTCAGCCAATACTATAGTAAATATTATTTTTACAACTCTGAAAGGGAGATTATGTTGTTTGTTTATTCTGAAAGCACAAATGGAGTTAGAAAATGGTACATGTCTCGGGATAAAGACACTTGGCATACCTTATAGCCGGGTAAGTACGTTTGAATAGGTTTATGTTAGAACACACTCCAGCCAGTTCTAAACACACTGAACTTGGGGTATTAATAATTAGGATGCAGGACATTTATCACTGCAATGAAACCCACATTCTCAGGCATGGCGCTGATTATCCTTGACACATAATCAGGACAAACCAACGATCAAGGTTCTTGCATGGGTTGCTGAGACCTATTCTCTCCCTGGCCCTTCATGGGTCTCCATCAGCAAGTCTTTGGGTGAGATATATTTGCATTATTATCATATTTACCATTATTTCTACACACCCAGCCTATATCATAAAGAAAAAGACACGTGAAGATCCAGGGTAGAATAGGTCTTCAGCAACCCATGCTTGCCGTAAAAGGCGACTATGCTTGTCGTAAGAGGTGACTAACGGAATCGGGTGGTCAGGCTCGCTGACCTAGTTGATGCATGTCATCGATCCCAATTGCGTGGATCGATGCTCATGATATCATTCACTGAATTGTCTGGTCCAGACTCGATTATTTACATATAGCTGGAATATTGCTGATTGCTTGTTAAACAGCAAATAAACAAACTAATCATAAAGAAAAAAATGATAAATAATATTAGACAGGGAAATACAATAAAATATCCCCAAACAAGTCAAACTTACACACTGTACTAACTGTGACAAATGTCAGTATACTGCCTTGGTCCTCTAGGAAATAAAGCCTGTTATTGAGCTTTGCTTTGTGAAACAAGCCCTGCTTCAGGTAATATGAATCAAACCATCTGCCTATAAATCCACCAGCTATTTATCCAGTGGAACAGTATACACTTTGTAACAGTATATAGGTAGGGGAATATAATCAATACTGCTTGCACTCCAGGACATTTCCTAATACATCGCTATTAATATTTCATGCCTGTACCAAATCAATGACTGACGTATGTTTGAAGGTAGATTAAAAATCAATACCACTTTCACACATCTTTACTTCCGCTCTTTCAGATTGACCAGGTATTTCATGCCACACCAGAGCAGAACCATATTTCTAACTCATTACGATTAAAGTTATAACTGGAAGTGCAGGTCTGAAACCTTGTGTTGAAATCAACTGTAATCTGGATGTCGAAAGCCCGGTTCAGAAGAGAAACCCCAGATTAGGAACATATTTTCAAAGCTATCTGAGCCAATTATAGGAAATGCATCAAGTAATATGAGCAATGTCCTACACCCTTGAGGTAAGGAGAGGACAGGCAATCAAGCAAGTCTATCACTTCGCTATCTCCCGACCATCTCCCGACCATCTCCCGACCATCACCCGACCATCACCCGACCATCTCCCGACCATCTCCCGACCATCACCCGACCATCGCCCGAATATTGCCTGACCATCTCCCGACCATCGCCTGAATATTGCCTGACCATCACCCGACCATCTCCCGACCATCACCCGACCATCGCCCAAATATTGCCTGACCATCACCCGACCATCGCCCGACCATCACCCGACCATCTCCCGACCATCGCCCGAATATTGCCTGACCATCACCCGACCATCGCCCGACCATCACCCGACCATCTCCCGACCATCTCCCGACCATCGCCCGAATATTGCCTGACCATCACCCGACCATCTCCCGACCATCACCCGACCATCTCCCGACCATCGCCCGAATATTGCCTGACCATCGCCCGACCATCTCCCGACCATCACCCGACCATCTCCCGACCATCTCCCGACCATCGCCCGACCATCACCCGACCATCACCCAACCATCACCCGACCATCACCCGACCATCGCCCGGCCATCGCCCGACCATCACCACCATCCCCTGACACCAAGCAGCGCTGGGGACTAATTCTAACCTGGTACCACAATGCCATATATATCTAAAACATTTTGTTTTTTCGGTTTGACAATATGAGAAATAACTTACTTGATTTTGAGGTGAGGGAGGAGACACTTGCACATTGACGGCTGTCAACGTCTGGGGCGGCATCTTAGTGACACCAAGCCCTGGCTCCGGACTGTACGGTGACGCCTGCAATACCACATACCAGTCATGTGACCAAGCTGTCATACACAAGGCTGTTATCGTATATCAATGCACGGTCCGGCGACAATACATGGTTAGATTTTAACCAGGCAGGAGGAATTCTATTTTTTTTACTACTCTTTTAAAGAAATTGTTCAAGGCATTGATGTTCCAACTGGCCAGGCTTAATACACAGTTGAATATTTGGAATGTGAATCTGATGTATTTTATCCAGCAAAGAAAGAAATATTTTTAAATCATTTGTGGTTGCTTGGCGACAATAAATAATGGCTGGGATGAATCTAATATTTTATCATGGCCTTAATTGCAAATACATTCTTTTCAGTACCATTCTAGTTATCAGGTTCAAAATGATGATCAAGAAGTTTTGACTGATTTTTTAAATCTAGGAACACACTAAATTTTAAGCTATTAACATAAGGGTCATTCTCAATTTGGATCACTGCATCGCAACAATATAAGTGTTTTCAAAATGGAGCAATCCCAACCATCTCCCTTCACATGCATGCACGCCACAAATGAAGGAGTTCATCACAGTTACTTTGACACCATTTTGGAACAAGAATTGGTTCACGTAAAACATTCCTAAAAAATATTTGTCCTATGACAATCCCAGCCACACCCAACCCTGAATGTTTACCGGTCGTCCCCTTAGTCTTTCAGCAGCTGTGTACTCACCCGATCGTTCAGCCTCGGCCTCTTCTTGTGTCTGGCAGGGAGGGGGTCTTCAGGGGGGTTGCTGTCTATTGCCCAGTACGACCCCTGAAGATAACATCATAACATCAGTATAATCATAACTAGTGGTTGACAGCGTGAGTGAGAGAGTGAGTGAGTGAGTGAGTGAGTGAGTGAGTGAGTGAGAGAGTGAGAGTGAGAGTGAGTGAGTGAGTGAGTTTTTTGCAATGCTCCATCAATATCATGGTAGAGGACGCCAGAAATGGGCTTCTAACATCGTACCCAAGTCTGGAATCGAACCCGGGTTTTCAGCGTAATGGGCGAACACTTTAACCACTAGGCTACCCGACCGCCCCGTTGACAGCATGAGCATCACCGTCTCCATAACACAATCGACAACTGTAACCAACTGATCCTCATAAATCAGCTCTTACAGGAAGAAGGGATTTAGCCAAGATTTAAAACTAAGTGCCCATGGCAGGCAAATTGGGGGGAAATAATTATTTTCTTCAAAATTTGGATTTTTTAACAAGTTTCAATATTCCTAAATTTGGGGATATTTTACTATTGCATTCAGTGCGATACTGTAAAACTGAGCATTAATGCCTCCTCCACTTCATTGGCCCTGTTGTCACTGATACACAAGTTACCTCCCCAAAGCCAGAACAAAAAGTCTGGTAACATGAATAGGGAAATTGTTACCGTATTCGACGTAATAAGCGCTCTGGGCGCTTTCAAAATTAGAGCGGGGCATTTATACATACAGCACACACTGCTGACTTCATCCAGTCCCCCTACACTGCTACTTCAGCATTGCTACAGAAACTTGCTATCCACTGGACATATCTAAGACTTGTAACACCAGAATCTTGCTATGCACTGGACATATCTAAGACTTGCAACACCAGAATCTTGCTATCCACTGGACATATCTAAGACTCGTAACACCAGAATCTTCCTATCCACTGGACATATCTAAGACTCGTAACACCAGAATCTTGCTATCCACTGAACATATCTAAGACTTGTAACACCAGAATCTTGCTATCCACTGGACATATCTAAGACTTGTAACACCAGAATCTAGCTATCAACTGGACATATCTAAGACTCGTAACACCAGAATCTTGCTATCCACTGGACATATCTAAGACTCGTAACACCAGAATCTTGCTATCAACTGGACATATCTAAGACTCGTAACACCAGAATCTTCCTATCCACTGGACATATCTAAGACTCGTAACACCAGAATCTTGCTATCCACTGGACATATCTAAGACTTGCAACACCAGAATCTAGCTATCCACTGGACATATCTAAGACTCGTAACACCAGAATCTTGAGACAGAAGCATGTATCACCTGGTCCTATCTTACCACTGTATTGACAGTGAATTGGAGTAATGACCTCCCACAGACAACAGTCCTAATAATAATGTGAACTTGATACAGCCGTCCCCACAGCAAACACTGCATCATGACAATTTACACATGTAAATGAATGAGCTGTTACCATCGTCAAAACACAATCTGGACGTTTTTACCAACATGGGAGGTCCATATGCTTGAAACATCAACACCCAAACTGTTCCAGTAAAAAGTACAGTACATGCACTGTATCACGCCCTCATCTGTGTGTTATTGCTACACAGAGGTAGGCTTTACGACCATGTATCTCACAGCGCCAACAACTGTCCCTTTTCTCTCAAGGACAGTCTGCGACAGGGTTTACCATTGACTAGCCTTGCTCCAAGGCTGTACTGAAAGAAAAGTCCATGGATGTGTAGTAATTCTATCCTCCTAATAGTCAAGTCTAGATATGTGGACAGTAAGGACTCCAGTCTCTTATAGGGACCACTTGTTCTTATTATTTATATGATCTAGAACTTAAGATTTAAACTAATAGTTATTGACTTAGAGACTTGCACAAGTCTAACCATTGACCCACTTCTATGTTTACTCGTATGGTAAAAATCTTACGGTAAAAATGTTTACTGCTGCACTGAAACACTTGCTCACTGTCACGTCCTGAATGAGCTGTGAAACATAACCTCAGTTCGCAAGGATAGTGCCAAGTAAGTCGACGTCGTTCTTGTTTGTGAGTAATGCTGATTTCGGGAATATTCAGGGTATACGATGATGTTTATAATTGAGAGTGGACTAGACAATACAGTGATTGATATCATGAGCATCGATCCATGCCGTCCGGAAACAACACATCTGTTTGAGTAAGTTGGTGTTTGCTCCAAATGTGAGTGAGTGAGTGAGTATGCTTTTACGCTGCTTTTAGCAATATTCCAGCAATATCACAGCGGGGAACACCAGAAATGGGATTCACACATTGTACCCATGTCGGGAATTGAACCCGGGTCTTCAGCGTGACGAGCAAACGCTTTAACCACTAGGCAACCCAACCGCCACTGCTCCACTTGTAGCCATATTCCAACCATATCACAGCAGAGGAAAACAAGAATGAGCTTCACACATGGTGCCTATGTGGGGGATCAAACCCAGGTGGCTGGCATGATGAGCTAACACCTTAACCACTTGGCTATCCTGGCACCCAAAACACTTTGACTTGGCACTAACAAACCATGCCTGGTGACAGTTGGAGTAGCTAGGGCTTGTGAGTGAGGTGGGCTTCATGACACGTTGAACAGTGAGTTGGGTATAACGCCGTTTTTAACAGTATTCCAGTTATATTGTGGTGTGTCAGCTTAATGTGGGAGGAAAGCCCAAAGTGATGCAGGTCTCAGACGTTTACCACTTCAGTGAAACCAACAAGCATGGGTATGGTGCTGACAAACCTAGAAACATAATCGGGGCGAACCCGGATTCGAACCCACAATCATAGGTTTCTGGCGTGTCCAAGGGACTCAACTCTGCACAGCGAATCGCAGCGCCTTAGATAACTGGGCCACCAGTGCCCCCCACATTGAACAGAACTACAGCAATATCATGGTGTGTCAGCTTAATTTGAGAGGAGTGAGAACGGTTTTCTGTGAAACACAATTAAAAGAGCAAATAACTAACTTGGTCTTCGTACATTCTGATTAGCTTTTTCACCTCCACTTTCTCGACGTTATACATCAATTCAAACTGCTTGACTCCACTCCTCACTTATACCAACATTTAGATTTCATTGCTTAACTTTACTATCGATGTTCTGCTTCAATGAATATTTGGCTGCTTAATTTCCTTTTGCACTGGTCGACTTAAGTTTTGATTCATTACTGAATTTTATGTTCTTTTAATTATCCCAGATCAAACCATACCACCTCAATAGAATCAAGGATGAAAGGAGAAACGCTTCAGCAAGAGAAGATGATAGTTTGGTTTTTGCTGAAACATAATAAGCCAGCCCTTCAAGATGAATTTAGTAGCTTCCATTACAACATAACAGTCTACCTTACAGCCACAGACACCTTACACAAGTCACCGGCAACTGCAGTGGGGGGGAAATGAAAGCAAAGATTTTGATTTAATTTGTTGTTTTACGCCGCACTCAGCAATATTCCAGCTTTATGACGGCAGTCTGTAAATAATCGAGTCTGGACCAGACAATCCAGTGATTAATATCATGAGCATAGATCCACACAACTGGGATCGATGACATGCTTCAACCAAGTCAGCGAGCCTGACCACCTGATCCCGTTAGTCGCCTTTTATGACAAGCATAGTCACCTTTTATGGCAAGTATGGGTTGCTGAAGACCTATTCTACCCCGGAATCTGAAAGCAAAGAAATCAATGGGGTTGCTGTTGGGACCCTAATGTTGAAGTCATAAATTTGGAAAACATGGAAAACCCATGTCTGGTGTCCCCCTGCAGTGATCTTGCTGTAATATCACCAGAACATTGCTGCTTCAAAAACCTTACTCACTCCATGATAAATCTGAAAAACCCATGACTGCACAAGACTCCATCCACAGCCCGGCTACCATGACTGTACAAGACTCCATCCACAGCCTAGCTACAAAGACTGTACAAGACTCCATCCACAGCCTAGCTACCATGACTGTATAAGACTCCATCCACAGCCTAGCTACCATGACTGTACAAGACTCCATCCACAGCCTAGCTACAAAGACTGTACAAGACTCCATCCACAGCCTAGCTACCATGACTGTACAAGACACCCTCCACAGCCTAGCTACCATGACTGTACAAGACTCCATCCACAGCCTAGCTACCATGACTGTACAAGACTCCATCCACAGCCTAGCTACCATGACTGTACAAGACTCCATCCACAGCCCAGCTACCATGACTGTACAAGACACCCTCCACAGCCTAGCTACCATGACTGTACAAGACTCCATCCACGGCCTAGCTACCATGACTGTAAAAGACTCCATCCACAGCCTAGCCTGCAGCATTGTCAGTAAAAAATCCCCAAAGTGGAGTTAAAATATCTAAATTCGTGTAATATAGCTACAACTCATGTAACGGTTTGGTCGAAGTAACTTGTATTCATTTCACTGATAACAGTGGGAGACAGAGAAAGAGGGATAATTTTACATGACTGTGATGAACGCAATGTTAAAATGCAACCTCTGAAAGTAAGAACTCCCCACAAAAACCCTATTTTGAACAAAACAACCATTCTTTCCCAATTGGCCTGCCAGGAGCACTTAGTGTTAAATCCTAGCTATCTCCCTGGGTGTGTCCTTTTCTCCATCATGTTCAAAGCACATGAGTAATTTTACCAGCCTGTGTGCACGTGACACTGCGTGTTGCTGTTCAGTGTTGCAAATAGGGGCGCTTTTCACATGAACGTACCTTTCCTGGATCGTCCTTCGACCTTGGAACTTTTAGGAAGCACTTGTTTAACGACAGATTGTGACGTATGGAATTCTGCAACACAAAACAACATCAATGACAACAACAGTAACAATCGTAGACTCACATTTAGTCTATGAAATCTTATATTACACAATACCCTTCTTGAGTCTAAAATTAAACAGATAATTTTCCCGATGCTGTGGAACAGAGCTAGCTAGAGCTGGCTAGACTTGCTTTTGTATACATATCTGGATTGTCTGGGGTTTTTTCATAAAATAAATACATTCCCCAGTCATGGTGCAGGATATAACAATCAGAATGACGTTTGATGTAAGTATGTTGAACAGTAACCATGGTAACAGCCTCTTCAATTTGAACCTCACAATTCTTCAAATATATTGATAACCTGAGGGGCAAAAGAAAGAAAACACGATTTTTTTTTTTATGTAATTCAAAATTGAAAGAACTGTTGTCAAATAGGATCACATCTATTTACCCAGCATTCATTCCTGCAACAGATTGTAAAGGGTTATCTGTGGCTGGGTAATTCTGAGTACAAATATAGACTGGGGTAAGAACTGAATTTACCACCACTTGACCCCTATTATGTTTTAAATTGGTGGGAAAATATGCAAATGTATTGATTTTCAAAGATATGATGTCTAAGATATCAATTAGCATTTGTGTATTTTGTGAGAAAATAAAGCGAGAGAGAAAATGAGAGCGTGATTAGAGCCACATAAAAATATCCCCAAACTGTCTCTCTCTCTCTCTGCACACTCACTCACTCACCCTCAATGTCACACTCTACCTGGATAAAGTACATAAGATAGAGAATTTAGGCATAATAATAATAATGAGCGAGTTGAGTATGATTTTACGCCGTTTTTAGCAATATTCCAGCAATATCACGACGGGGAACACCAGAAATGGGCTTCACACATTATACCCATTTTGGGAATCGAACCCAGGCCTTCGGCATGACGAGTGAACGCTTTAACCACTGGGCTACCCGACGGGCCCCCTCATAATAAAGAAGATGACATGCATAAGTTCTCTCCCTTATGCGTATCACTTCTAAATGCCTTTCACCGACTTGATATATTACCTGTTCCATTATAGAGATATTGAACGACTTGATGGAAAATACTTGTATGCTAAAAATAGCTGAGGTAAGACCTGCAAGTATCAAGTATGAACGGAACATAATCTGCATGAGCAGTGATGGATTTCAAAAACACCCAACGTGAGAATTATCTGATCTGTCTCGAAACATGTTTTTCCCCTGCCGTTGCCTGCATAGTGACTCACACCTGTAAGAACTCTGGTTTCAGTGACAAGCATGGATGATGAAGGACTTGAGGCAAGATGAATTATCTTTGTCTGGTCAAAGAAAGGAAATATTGTGTTACAGTAGACTCTGTTCAACTCACCAAAGAAATCTCAACTACATGTACAAGGTCTAACCCGCTTTGGAAACTGGGAGCCTGTCATGTTCGACCATCAAGGAAACTGGGAGCCTGTCATGTTAGACCATCAAGGAAACTGGGAGCCTGTCATGTTAGACCATCAAGGAAACTGGGAGCCTGTCATGTTAGACCATCAAGGAAACTGGGAGCCTGTCATGTTAGACCATCAAGGAAACTGGGAGCCTGTCATGTTAAACTTTCAAGGAAATAAGGAGCCTGTCATGTTAAACTTTCAAGGAAACAAGGAGCCTGTCATGTTAGACCATCAAGGAAACAAGAAGCCTGTCATGTTAGACCATTAAGGAAACAAGAAACCTGTCATGTTAGACCATCAAGGAAACTGGGAGCCTGTCATGTTAGACCATCAAGGAAACTGGGAGCCTGTCATGTTAAACCATCAAGGAAACTGGGAGCCTGTCATGTTAGACCATCAAGGAAACTGGGAGCCTGTCATGATAGACCATCAAGGAAACTGGGAGCCTGTCATGTTAGACCATCAAGGAAAACGGCAAGCTGCTCTGTTTTGTTTGTTTGTTTAATGCCGAACTCAGCTATATTCCAGCCATATGACAGCGGTCTGTAAATAATCAAGTCTTGACCAGACAATCCAGTGATTAATATCATTGATCCAAGCAATTGGAATACGATGACATGCATCAACCAAGTCAGTGAGCCTGACCACCCAATCCGTTAGTCGCCTCTTATGACAAGCATAGTCGCCTTTCACGGCAAGCATGGGTTGCTGAACACCTATTGCTCTGTTAGACCATCAAGGACAAAAACAGGTCTACCAAAACAGACTGCAACAAAACACTGTCATATGTTCTAATCTTTTTCTGTTGCCGATTCCTTGTGTGTGTAGACAAAACTTTATGACAGTTGTTTCTTGCAGTCTGTCAGTTTTCATTGGTAGGCCTGAAAACACAATCTGCTCTGCTTGACAATTAGCTCTTATAACCTTTCCAGCAATATCTCTTTTCCATTGCATCATATGACACGCTATGGTACAACTAAGCTGTTGTTTTAGCATCAAATAAAACTCACACACTCAAATACAAATATTTCGAATGAGTGACTTTTCACACCACTTTCAGCAATATTCCAGCAACATCGCGCGACGCGACAGCAGAAAGAGCTTCACACATTGTGTCTATATTGAGGATCTAAGCCAAATCTTCATTGTGACAGGCAAGCACTTGAATCACGAGGCCAACCACCCAATTGCCAATGAACTGCTATCACATAAAACTAGATTTATAATTATTTCATATTACCTCATCCGAGCAAGGTAAGGTGATCACCTGCATTGTTCAAACATCACTGTTGTCGTACACCAATGCGCACTTCACAAGGCAACACACTCAAACCATAAGAAGGGGACTTGAAAGAAGCCCTGATTTTAATCTAATGACACACTTCCTGTCTGCAGGTTGCCGATATTATCAGTGAGTGATGACACTGATAGTGTCAACAACAGTCTTCATCACTTTGACATGAACAAGCACCTGCTTGGCTGTTAATGTACACTGAAAGGGCAGCTATAAATTGCTGATTACACAGGCCGCTTATTATTCACCAAACTATTTGTGGTTTAATTCAAGTTCGACCCATAAGGTAAGGATCGTCATAAGGGTCCAAGATTTATGGCTGCAGGGCATGATAGTAGAATAACAGTAGCGAACATTACAACCAAAAGACATTCTACTTCCTGAAATATAGTTTCAAATTCAACAACTAAAATTAGTATCATTCATTATATTTTGGATTTTCATTATTATTATTATTATTATTATTATTATTATTATTGCAAAGGTTACCTGTACTTCACTACTTCATTAATAACAGGACCAATACTGATATTTAAAAGCAATTATTGCAATAAATAAAATGTTAATATACCTTCGCATTAAAGATTTGTTTTTTGTAAGGGTCCCATCTCACAAAGTGATGTTAGCATTTAAAGGGTGTCCATCATAGGTTGTCCCTAACATGACGTCCTTAACATGACGTCCCTGACATGACGTCCCTAACATGACGTCCTTAACATGATGTCCCTGACATGACGTCCTTAACATGATGTTCCTGACATGACGTCCTTAACATGACGTCTCCAACATGATGTCCTTAACATGATGTTCCTGACATGACGTCCCTGACATGACGTCCCTAACATGACGTCCCATCATATCAAAGTACACAATGTATTGTTGTCTTCAAGGAGCCTGTGTCAGTGAGCTGCTGCCATTGATTGTGGACACTTAGATGTGTCAGAATGTCCAACTGTTAAGTGCCATGCGTGACACGAGATCAATGTTGATAGTCAATATAGCCAGTGTGCCGGAGAAATCACCTGGTAATAATTTACTGTTGGACAGTTTGTATATGATTAGTTATTACTAATGTTCTCTTTATCTCTCAATGGTTGTAGTCTGTGGGTTTATGCTGTAATATCTCCTACAAACAACAAACGATTCACACCGTTCAGATTACCTGACTTACTCTATTAAAGAAGCCAATTTTATTGACTATATTGACCATAATAATCAGATTCACTAGCACAATAATCAAAACATTATCTTGACAATTATACCATGACATTTCCATCAATTTAGCTTATCTGACCATTTGAGATATCAAGTCACATGTCCGTGACAGTTTTAAGTTAATGGTTACAATGCTATAGATTTCAGGATACCCTTTTACAATTGTTTGTTGATATACATATTTTATAGCTACTGTTTTGTTTTCTGCAATTAAGGTCCTGAACATTCAGCCAATCAACCGACAGCGAGTAGGATTATAGGCAGCCTTCAACGTAAGGGTCGTTACGATACAGCGGGTTCGCAATATGCATCCCGATACTACTGGTGCGATACGATTCATATCCTGATACAGTACTTTTTATTACATAAGATGATATTGTTTCTTTTTGCAGGTGAATTTGGGATGCAGATGGGATGCAGATGGGATATTGTTGGGCAGAAACACACGGGTGAGGTGAGGTGAGGTGAAATTGGGTTTAACGTCGTGTCCAAGATTATTGCACTTATATAGCGACGTGCATGTACGTGTGTGTGTTTGTGTGGCTGCTTGTACTAGACCGGACTTATGCCGACTTATAGTGCTAGCTCACTGAGATACCATGCCACAGTTTAACATGAATACCCCACTCAGGCACAGTATATTGACTCCGAGCCGACCAGTCCTTGTTTTAGCCCCTTAATGCCGAGCGCCAGACAGGGTAACAATATGAAACACACAGGCTAGAGGGCACTAGGCTAAAGAGGTGAAATGATCCATCGGCGCACCGGTGCATCGTGACTTTTCATGTGCCCACACGATACAATCATCTTCCATTACGTGAAGGTTAAGAAGATTTTGTATCCTTGAGCACTGCACAATTCACTCGCATTGACACTTGTATTGAAATGCATTGTCATACAGGCAGGTATTGTTGCAGCCCCACCCTTTACGGGTAGTTACCACAGTACGGTACATGGTACAGATAAGGTACAAAAGTTGAGAGCATGCTGACTCCTCAAACCCTGGGGAATTTCTAATACACCCCGGTATATCATGAATCCTTTCATAGCTTCATTTGTT